CTCTTTCGGTGTGCAATGTTCTGTTTTGCCTTCCTCGCGCAGCGGGTGTGTCAGCGCGTCATCGCGGTGCGCCGCCGTTCGCAGCTTGCGACGTTGGCCCTGCGACTGGGGTTTTCCTACCTACGGGGCCACGCCGCCCACGTGCCCCGAGCCTGGGCCCTTGGTGCATGTACTCGACGATCAACCCGCCCCCGGAGGAGAACGGGGCGATCTCGCCAGCGTCGACGGCGACGTCGACATCATGGGCGACGCGCTTTTAGATTGCGAGGGCTACGACGAGAAGACGGGCGTCGGCCCAGGTGTTTCAGCGGCTGCATCGGCCGACGACCCCCGGCGCGCTTCCCACAGCTCGGCGCCAGCGGCGCCCCCTGAAGGTCACCCGCGCACGTCTGTCCGCCGCGATCTCCAGGAAGAACAAGGAGTAGGCGAGGTGAGAGCAGCCGGAAATTTCTAGAGGATCATGGCGGAGACTCGCCCCGACTCGGATTTCAAGGGCCCCATGGGCGCGGGCGTCGCGGGAACTATCGGGATCGACGAAGAGCTGCGCGACGAGCAGCGCAGGGCCACCGATGCGCACAATCCGCCCCCCCTGGAACGCTTCGAATCTAGCAGAGGCGCCACCGTGCACGACGGCAGCGACTGCGATGTCGTGGACGACGTGGCCAGGGAGGAAGCCGACCATGAGCCCTTGCCATCTGATGCCGAGAAGAAGAGATGAGAAGATGGCGGGCATGAGCCAGATGATCATCGAACACAAAGGTTAAACATTCAAAAAGGGTACGCCGCGTGGACGACTGCAAGAACATCCTCGAGGATTACGCCAATGGCCTCGAGCTGCCTGAGGAGGCCCCGAGGGAGTGGATGCCATCAGACTGGGTGGGAAATTTCTACCATGTCAAGGTTCACATCGCACTCTTCATGGCGACGACCCAGAACCTCGCGCTGGAAGTTCGTCGTCTGGACCAGGTGCTCTCCAAGATGTATGATGCCGAAGGTGGCTCACTGGTCCGCGAGAGGAGGATCGTGCAGCCCCGGGAAGCGGGCGACGAATCTCGAGCTGAAATTCAACGGGTCAAACTGCAGCGGTGCCTCGACTTGCAGCAGACCAAGACAGCGTGGACCAAGCAGCGCATCGAGGCGGATAACGGGCTCGCACGCGCTCAACGCCAATTTGAGGGGCTGGAGCAAAATACCGCGAGCCCCGCGGACTACGCTGAGGAGCTGCCGAACTTCCTCGATAAGTTCGCTGTGCGCTCGGAGATGCAATGCGCCCAGCGTTCCAGAATGAACCAGCTCGCGCAATCCTCCTCCGATTTCCACACCTGGGCCCCTTGGAACCGCTACTTCAACGGACAGCTGCGGAGTCGCCTCCATAGGATAAGGCGCGCCTTGAACGACAAGAGAGGCCACTTCAGCACGATGGCGGACTTGGGGGAATCAGTTGGCGCATGGGGGGGGGGGGGGGGGGGGTCCGAGAACTCACCGAGAAGGACCTGGGCCGCGCGCGGGCTCAACCTATGACCGAGGTGGCTATCCAAGCAAGAAGGGATAAGCACCGGAGGCGTCGGCAGAACAGAAAGGCCATTCGCCAGACCGAGCAGTTCGAGGAGATCGAGGAGGTCGAGGACGAGGACGAAGACCCGAACGAGGGCGACACCCAGGCAGAAATCATTGCGGAGGACGCAGAGCAATTTGGTGGACACCCTGGCGCATCATCAGGGGGCCACGTCTACGGCGACAACGCCCCGCAGCAGTGCGAGACGCCCTGCGAGGCCTGCGTCGAGAAGAAAGCCATCTCCGATGGCATCGCCGATGGTCTGGCCAGAGCAGAAGGAGATAACGAGAAGTCCTGAAGCCGACCCCAGAGGTGCCAGAGGGCGAAGTTCCAGCGGCGAGAGGAATAGAGAGACCTGCGACAGGAGCACCGCGTTCTCGCGTTAACGTCTACCTCGCTGCCCACGCAGTTCAGGAGACCGCCAAGGAGACCGCGAAGGAGACAGCCAAGGAGGACCCCAAGGAGAACGAGCCACTCCTCCCGATGCCGAAGTACGTCCTGTTTCCCGACGACAACAACAGCGCCAATTCCTTGGTCCATCGTCGGGGCCTCAGGGTGAGCTACTCGAATGCGGTCGCCACTCCAGGAGGAAAAGTTGATCGTGTCGATCTGAACGTTGATCACAAGCGAGACCTGGACTTTGATTGCGCTGCCAGGTGCGCAGCAAGTCGGGAACTGATCGAAGAAGCTGGGCTATACACCCTCGTGGGCGACTTGGTGGAGATCCTCGAAGACAAGCCCAATATCCCACCTCGCAGGAACTCCGGTCACGTCTACTTGGCGCCACCCGAGGTGCGGGGGCCGCAGCATAGCTCTCGCACTGAAGTAGTCGACCAGGGTGTTTAGAATTTGGTCCTGCCGGCTATCGCGCCTGGGCCACCGTGGAGGACCTGATCGTTCTACCAGACCTGATACTGGCACGCAAACAACCATGTGCTTACATGTTGAAATGTGGAGAAGGAGATGGTCTTGCAGATGAAACAAGGCCTGATGAAACAGACGGAGGTGATGAATTACGAACCGTCTGAACTCGAGAGGGACGGACGTTGTCCGACCGATGCTGTGATCAACGACTTGGCATACAAGAGCCGTGCTCAGCCGCCCGCTCAGAACTCGAGTTTCAGCGCGACCTTCAACGACCCCGCGTCAGAGATGATGGCCGTGCACCATCAGTACCCGAGACAAACTACTTTCCGCGTCTGCCTGAAGTTGCTGACGCACGTGCCACTTGGCATCGTTCGGAGTCTGGTTGAGTTGCGCAACGCGCTCGAGTACGAAATCGCGCAGGACTACCTGGAGAACGGAGACAAGACTAGGGACTAGGGACTAGGGACTACGACAACCTCTACGCATAATTCCAGGTGTGCACGGACGCCGAACTTAATGGCCCCTCTGATCTTCGCCCGGTGTCAGAGTTCGTCGCGACGCCATTCCACGACCTGCCTCGCTGGGCACCCGCAGCGCGGGCCATTGCCCCTAGCGCGCGCTAGATCGACCTTCCGAGGATCGGCGGAAATTTATGGCATCGTCAACGGGAGAATCAGCAGATGATGGTCGACAGTTGGGGGAGCTGGTGAAAGAAGGCGAGAGGGCGATCGAGGACATCATGGGCCAGGTCAGGATCCTCGGCGAAGCAGGTTGAGGAAAAGGAATGGCACGCAAGCTGGAGAACCTCAGCGAGTTGAACGGCGCAGTGGGCGCCCTCAAAGGTTTCGCCGAGAACCCCCCACCAATGGGTGGATCTGCCACCGAGGCCATGAAGGCTGCAGCGACTATTAATGACTACGCCGCAGCTCCAGGACTGGAAGGACCTCCAGCAGAGCAGGGTGAGACACTCCTTGGACTTGATGTGCCAACTGGAGGAAAGCCTACAAGCTCCCCAGGAAAAACAAGAAGGTCGTCAACAACATGATGAGCGAACACTGGAAGACGAGCCACAAGGTCGAAGTGACGAGAGACCACCTACTCGACACCCTCCTTCACTACGACTGTTCTGGTCGCGTTGGCTCTGGAAGCTCGATATGGGATCGAGCTCTCCGCGTTGCTCGTGAACACATCTCGGGACTCATCGGCGGTCCTCGTGTCCAGGGGCCAGTGCCGCATCCAAGTGGACAGTGGCGGGTGATGAGTCCGACGCCGACGCGTGCTCGGGAGATACAGCGCGACGAGGGGCTTGACCAGAAGGGGGCCCAGCTCGAGACTTCCTATCACGGCGCCAACTCGGCGGCATGGGCATCTATCTGGAGCGCGCAAGGGCTGTTTGAGCTGAAGTCAGGACTTTCGAGCCGTGAAAACATCTACGGCGTTTCTGTGAGAGGACGTCCCGCCTCACCTCTTGCATTCATTGCGTGGCGCATGCGTCGTCGGACGTCAGCCCATAGATGAACCTGCGCTCTTGCATCTTTGAGCTGCAGGTGGACCGCCGCCGTTGTGCAGGCTATCCCGAGCAGCATGTCCACTAGCTGTGGTACCAGACCGAGAGCTGCCCTTGCGTCGAGGCGCTCTGGATCCACGCTGGGACGACGAGGAAGATCTGGTACAAGGTACAGGCGAAGGAGCAAGTGATTGGATGGTACAAGGTTTGGAATTGCATGGTCAGGATGCACCTCGCGGCAGAGGCCATCCCGACAGCGTTTCCGAGTGTGCACGCGCGCGCAGATGGAGTGATCGAGGTTTCCGGCCTCCCAATTTTCGAGGTCAAGCTGGCTCCCAAGGGCGAGAGGTGGGCTCCTCAGTGGACCGAGGATCTCAGCGCGGCAGATCGGTTCTTGGAGCGCACCGGTAAAACATACGACCGCCGTGGAACCGAGCCACAGAGTTTCATGGACCAGATGGGGCAGGCTACGGACGCAGCGAATTCGGATGAACTCGTTGTCATCACGGACTTTGAGTCAGACAACCCGTTTCATGATCTCTCTTAGAGGTGCTCTCGAGTCCTACGTGTTCGCGAAGCTGTGCCAGCTGCGCGTCGCTGAGGCTCTGGTAGTTCGTGGAATGGCTACGGTATCTGTTGAGAGAAGAATTTCACCTTCTGAGGCGAGGTGGCGTCCCGGCTGCAAGACAGGTAGAAGTTGTGGTTGCAGAGCCCCTGTCAGCCTCTCCTCCTCCTGCGCCTCTCTCTGCGTTCCCTTGTCGGCCGCCATGTCGGCTCTCAAGGGCCCTTGAGCTATCGTGGCGCGTCGGTGACGGACTCGCTCACGCCTCCGTGACAGGAAAGACAACGGACTGTCTTCTAGCACGGGCCCCCCTATTTGTATTTCGTGTTTCTCTGTATCCATACAGCCGCACCCGTACAATCCACACCCTTTCTCGTCATCCTTTCTTCCCCCACCTTTTCTCCTCGTCCTCATCCTCCACGTCTCAACAATCACCCCCCTTTCCTCTGTGGCCTTTTGCTCGCTTCTGCGTTCTCCACATGCCAATTTGCCAGCATCCTTCCCACCAGGCCCCCAAGGCGCAGGGGCCAGTCAAGCCGGAGGAGGTGGACGAAGAGGCTGCGAAGGCAGCGAAGGTAGCGGCCTTGTTTTCCAGGAGAAAGGGAGGACGAGGAAGTTGGAGCAGTCGGAGGGGGAGCAGGGGGTCGGGGATAATGGGGAGGAGGTTTACTTTACGTGAGCCCTGGAGATGCCAAGAGGTGGCCACGTCGGAGGGTCACACTTGGACGATGAGTCGAGTGAGTATTAGTAACAGTAATAGGTGGACGAAGGGGGCAACGACGACGACGAAGACGACGACGACGACAGAGATAGAGGGAAAGAGAGAGAGAGAGAGACAAAGAGAAAGAGGGAGAGAAAGAGAGGGAGAAAGACAGAGACAGAGAGAGGAGGAAGAGGAAAAAGGGGGGAGGTGGGCGTCCAAGGGTATATATTCACATGTGTGGCTTCGGCGATTCTTCCACATTCCGATTACACGAAGTGAGCGCCAGGCCAGAATGTTCTGGGCGTTTCGGCCCTGCCCTGCACCACCCGCGCGGTGCATGACGCAGGTCGTGTCCGTGTATGTGTGTGTGTGTGTGTCCGTGTGTCCGTGTGTCCGTGTGTCCGTGTGTCCGTGTGTCCGTGTGTCCGTGTGTCCGTGTGCCCGTGTGCCCGTGTGTCCGTGCGTCCGTGTGTCCGTGTGTGTCCGTGTGTCCGTGTGTCCGTGTGTCCGTGTGTCCGTGTGTGTGTGTCCGTGTGTCGTGTGTGTCCGTGTGTGTGTCCGTGTGTCCCGTGTGTCCGTGTCCGTGTGTCCGTGTGTGTGTGCCCGTGTGTCCGGTGTCCGTGTCCGTGTGTCCGTGTGTCCGTGCGTCCGTGTGTCCGTGTGTGTCCGTGTGTCCGTGTGTCCGTGTGTCCGTGTGCCCGTGTGCCCGTGTGTCCGTGTGTCCGTGCGTCCGTGTGTCCGTGGGTCCGTGTGTCCGTGGGTCCGTGGGTCCGTGTGTCCGTGTGTCCGTGTGCCCGTGTGTCCGTGTGTCCGTGCGTCCGTGTGTCCGTGGGTCCGTGTGTCCGTGTGTCCGTGGGTCCGTGTGTCCGTGTGTCCGTGTGTCCGTGTGTCCGTGTGTCCGTGTGTACGAATGGAACTTGCAAAAGAAGTGGGATGTGGAGGAGCAGGGGTGGAAGTTGGAGGAGGAACCGCGTTGCAGGAGGATGAGGCGCAGCCAGCACGCATATTTGCTTTACCGGCGCGTCGATTCCGCCACGCCAGTTCCCTTCAGTTGCTTCCGAGAAGACGCGGGGGACGGAGGTCCGCGGGGTTCGGCGTCCGCGGCCTCCACCCTACTTCGAAGCAGCGTGGGCCACCTCCCCGTCCCTCCTCCTCTCTTCCCTCCTCCTCCTCCTCCTCCTCCTCCTCCTCCTCCTCCTCCTCCTCCTCCTCCTCCTCCTCCCCCTCCTCCGCCTCCTGCATCTTTTGTCCTTCTGGACAACTCCCCCCTGTCGCACCCCCCGACGTGTTGTTAGGGCGGGCCGGGCTTTTCGCCTGAGACGTCCTCACCATCAGTGATTCTGAAGCTTGAAATTTGCATCCGTTTCATTGATGGAGGGCGGGTCGTTTTGAAAATGTGCCTCTCGTTTTTGCGCCGCGCACATTCGCCATCAAAGGTTTGCGACAGCTTCAAGGGTGGAGGGCAAGTCGTTTTCACAATCTGTCTGTCGCCTTTGCGCCGCGCACGTTCGTTATGGAAAATTGCAGCCGTGTTAAAGATATATGGCGGGGCGTTTTCAACATGTGGCTCTCGCCCCAATGCCTCGCACACTCGTCTTAAGAGTTTGTAGCCGTCTCAATAATAGGAGGGTCGTTTTCAACATGTGGCTCTCGACCTAGCGCCGCTTACATTCGTCTCAAAACTTTCCAGTCCTTTCAAGGACGAATGGCGGGTGGTTTTCAAATTGCCGCTCTCGCCTTAGCGCCGCGCGCATTCGTTGTAAAAACGCAATCGTGTCATTGATGGAGGGCGGGTCGTTTCCAACGTGTGTCTCTCGCCCAAGCGCCGCGTGCACCTGTATAGAAAGCTAGCAGGAGTTTCGAGAATTCGTATGGTTGAAACTCCAGGAATGGTTTTCTGGGACGATTGGGATTGTCAGGGCGCAGCGATTACGTCACTTCGCTGTGTTGAAGTTCCAGGAATGGTGTTCTGGCACGGCTTATGATTGTCAGGGCACCACAGTCGCATTGTTATGCGGTCTTGATGTCCCAGGAATTGTGTATTGGCATGATGGAGGGTTCTCCGACGGTTATTTTCCAACGGGGCATTTCCAGCAATGATACGTAATGTATTCATGTAATATATGAAGAAGGAAGTCTGAGAGAGGGTTTTTGCAGCATCGTTGGTGCGTCTTGGGTTTACACTGGCCCTCCTCCTCCTCCTCCTCCTCCGAACCTCCTGCTCCTCGCCCTCCTCCTCTGCCTCTTTCCCCTCACCCCACTCCCTTTCCTTGTCCTGATCCTCCCTCCTGCTTCTCCTCCTCTGTGCCTCCTCACCCCCCTCCTCCTCAACTTCCTTTTCCGTGCCTCCTCACCCCCCTCCTCCTCCTCCTCCTCCTCCTCCTCCCCTTTCTCCTCCTGCGGGGGCCTGGACGACCTTCGCCCGACTTCCCAGTGCACCTGCATGCGCCTGTCTCTTTGGATGCTCCGACCCAGATGAGTTCCCCCACTACCTCGTGTGTCCTCGTCTTTTGCACCTCCTCGCCCTCCCTCGCGGGTCTCTCCCCGTCTCGCCTCTCACTCGTCTGGGTCTCGGAGCTGAGCCCGATTCGGAGACAGAATATCCCCGTCAACGATGCCACCAGATTGTAGTCCTCAGCTTTCGCATTTACCACACATTGAAAGCTGACCTTTCTCTACGCTGTCGGCCCCCCCGCCGCCATATCATTACGAAATCCGAGCCGCCGCACTTGCTGCTATGCGCATCTAGTGCACAGGTCACCACGAACCGTCTCAGGTTACGTCCGCTCCCCTTTCTCCTCCTTCTCCTCCTCCTTCCCTTTCGGCCACGCTCCACCTCCTCCCCTCCTTCCCTCCTCAGCCCCCTCCTTTCACTCGTCCTGATCCTCCTGCTCATCTTCGCCACCCTTCTCCTCATCCCTTCCTCCGTCCTCCTCCGCTCCCTTCCTCATTTCTCCGCCTCCCTCCCTCCCTCCCCTTTCCCCCCTACTCTCCTTCCCCGCTGCGGCAAACCAGCAGTGCCTCCCAGAGAGCCGAGATCGTGGCCAAGGTGAAGGCCGCCCAGGACCACGCATGGGCGGGATAACGACGACGCAGGGCGAACGACGACGGATTATTTTGTTCCATCCCGTTGTGTTGTCTCAGTTTCGGCCTCCAGGGGCCGTTTTCGGGCCCAGGGCCATGAAGAATGGATCCGGATCGAAGGCGCTCCCTGTGTAAATGGTCGAGATCTTGGGCCCGCAGGCTGGCACAACAAATATGTCAGATGCCTTGGGGCCCAGGGGGGTGGGCCAGGGTGGACGGGAATAGGCAGGGGATGGAAGAAGATGGAGATAGGAGACGGAAGGTGGGAGATGGCAGGGGGTTGGCGTGTGCGGAGGAGACTGGACGGGAGGGGAGGGGAGCAAGCAAGGGGAGTGGACGGAAGGGGAAGGCGAACGGAGCCCGGGGATTGCAGGGATGCGATCCAGGAGTTGCCTTGCGAGCGGTTCGAGGTTGAGAAATGCAGACTTCAACGCCGCCGTACCCCTTTCCGCTCGCACTTCTTTCGCTCCTAGTTATGTTCCTGTCCGCGACATGCAGCTCATCGAGATGAACCGGACTGTCGTTAGCGTGGGCACTGTAGCCATCATCTCGTCTTGGCTGATTGGTGGGACCTTGCACCACGTCTTGCACCGCGCGACGCTGATGAGGGCCATGTGGACGTTTCTGGTGCAGTCTGCGGCTTATTTGGTGCTCGTTTGGGCTTGACTGGTTGCCGCTGGTATGACTTGGCTGGCTACGGCGTTGTCGACTCTGGCGACTCTGACTCCGCCTGTGCGAGCAACTGGTACCAGCGCCCCGCGCCAGCATTTCGCGCAATGTTCCAATGTGTTTTATTCCCACGCATCCTGTGGTGCTCGCTTCCGGTTTTGACGATGCAGCGCCCCGCGATCCTCACTCCTTCCATCCTCCTCCTGCTCCTCCTTCCATCCCTTGCCTCTGCCCTCCGCATGTCTCTGTTTCGGCACACCCCTCATGCGTTCCGGGGCCCCATAGGGAGCTCCCCCGAAGGCCCCAGTGGCGGTGTCCATATGCGGCCGCCCCCCGATTTCGGCACACCCCTCACGCGCTCCGTTCGATTTGATTTCCGGGAGGGGTCGGGGCCGGGAGGTGGAGGAGCCGCCGTTGCCGGGGCGTGGAGGAGGCCACGGGGGCTCGCCAGGGTCCGTCGTTGCGCTCGCAAGGCAGCTCGGGCAACGAGCTGGTGCCGCATTGGATGTCCAGTAAGAGCATCACACACGAGGGCTCGAAGGGGTCGCTTGCCCACCTCGACGGAGGGCGGGGGGGGGTAGCAGAGGCAAGCGAAAGCAGAGCCAACCGAATCACATTTCAGTCCGTCCAGAGAGTTTCTCCAGCAAGCGGAGAATGGCGATTCCGTGCGGGACTGTCTCGCCACCCTGTTTTCCCGCTCCATCTCCAGCCGCCAGAGAATTTCAGTTTCGCTTGAGACTTCCTCGGAACCTTGTTTCTGGACGCCGTCCATGCCGCAAGAAAGTTGCGCTTTGGGCGGGCGGGGGGACACTGTGATGACGACGGCGTCGCGAGGCGCCCGCGGTGCGCCCGTGGGCGCGGGCGGGGTGCAACCCCATCATGCCCACTCAGGGCCCAGCGGCCCTCGTACAATCTTAATTAGAGGGACCCCCCCCGGGGGGGGCGTGGATGGGCCGTGGCCCCTTTTTTGATTTGCATTATCGGGTCCGACGTGAAACGGAGACCCCCCCCTACCGGGAAATCGATTTCGGTTTCGGGTTCGTGTCGTGCGTGCCATGCGTGCGTGCGGGCGAGGCGAAGCTGCGTGGGCGTGCGAGAGGAACTCCTCCTGTGGCTGGGCCGCGGCCAGACCAAATGTTTCTCCTCTGGCGGCCGGTGGCCCGCGGTGTCCCGCCGGTGTCCCGTGGTGTCTTGTGGTGGCCCGTGGTGTCCCGTTGAATGAGATCGATTATTAGATCGATTGTGAGATCGATACTGAGATCGATTTGGTGCCCTGAGGTGTCCCGTGATGTCCCGTTGAGTGAGATCGATAGTGAAATCGATAATTAGTGAGATCGACAGGTGTCCCGTGGTGTCCCGTTGAGTGAGTTCGATAGAGAGATCGATTGAGTCAGATGTTGGTTCCCCCCCTCTCCCCCCCACCCCAAACCTCCTTATCACCCGAAGGGTGGTCGTATAGGTACCAGGAGGAGGGCCGGCGAGTCCGCGGTGCGCGATCCCTGTCGTGTTGTAGGGCCTCGCGCCACTTTGCGGTGGATCCGGCTTGGATCCGCGATGGATCCGACATTTCAAATTTTGCGAAATCGTTTGTTTTCAAATGGATCTTGCTTGGATCCACGATGGTTCCGAACTTGCACATTCCACGAAACCATATGTTTCCATAGGGATCCTACCTGGAAACACTATGGATCCACGATGGTGTCCATGCTGGGATCTGGGCAAAACAATTTGTTTTCATAGGGATCCTGCTTGTATCCAGGATAGATCCGACGTTGCGGATTTCGCGAATCCATACGTTTTCATAGGGATCCTGCTTAGATCCACGATGGTCCCGAACTTGCACTTCAGTTGGGCTGTCTAGAACGGAAACCACAATCGAACCTAATTTTCGCAAATGTCTGATACGGAGTTCCTCCGAAGTCCGCAGTGGCGGTGTCCAACATCGGCAGCCCCACCAATTTCGGCAAACCCTTCACACGTTATGTGGCCCCACAGGGAGCTCCATCGAAGGCCCCAGCGGCGGTGTCCACATGCGGCCGCCCAACCGATCTCGGCACACCCCTCACACTTTCTGTGGCCCCACAGGTAGCTCCACATAATGCTCCATTCACGGTGCCCACCCGCGGCTGCTCCACCCATTTGGGCACACCCTTCACACGTTTTGTGGTCCCAGGAGAGCTCCATCGAAGGCCTCAGTAGCGGTGTTTACATGCGGCCGCTCCACCCATGTGGGCACACCCCTCACACGTTCTGCGGCCCCATAGGAAGACCCCAGAGGCGGTGTCCACACGCGGCCGCTAACTACTTCGGCACACCCGTTCACACGTTCTATAGCCCCAGAGGGAGCTCCAGCGAAGGCCCCAGTGGCGGTGTCCACAAGCGGCCGCCCCCCAAACGTTGGCACACCCCTCACACGTTCTGTGGCCCCAGAGGACGCTCCACCGAAGGCCCCAGCGGCGGTGTCCACACGCGGGCCGCCCAACCGATCTCGACACCCCTCACGCGCTTCGTGGCCCCATAGGCCCCAGTGTCAGGGCTCGCATGCCACGCTTCGTGGCCCCAAAGGGAGCTCCATCCAGGGCCCAGGGGACAGCGCCCGCATGGCCGCCCCGCCCCACTTCTGCACACCTCTTACACGCTTCGTGGCCGCATGGGGTTTCTGTCTAAAGCCTCAGTCGCAGCGCCCGGATGGCCGCCACGCCCCATTTTGGCACACCCTTCGCACGCTTCGTGGCCCAATAAGGAGATCCACGGAAGGCGATACTCGCATTTGCATGTGGTCGGGTTCTTCGCCAGGATTGTGTGCTTTACATCGCTGTTCCTGGTTTATTCAAGTGGCCCACGCCATTCCGCCGATCCCGAGCGGAGTAGAGACGTCAAGAGCGTTCGGTATCTTGTGTTGGAGCTGGAGTGGCTGCTTGTTTTGTTCACGTCCGCGAGGGCGGAGGAGAAGGAGAGGGAGGAGAAGGAGGAGAAGAAGGAGAAGGAGGAACGGAGTTGGGAAGGAGGAGGGCGGAGGGAGGCGGATCCCTCGTCGTCCTCTGCCCCCCCGGCTTCTCCTCTGGCCCCGCCGCGTTCAGCCATGCTGCCCTGGTGTTCGTCGGGCACTCGCCTCGCTGCGTTGGCCCTGACCGGATCTCCCCTGAGATCCGACGACGCGACAAAAATTGAAACATCGTGAAAAATACGGACCGCAGCTCTAGACCCTAGACCCCATGTTTCTGCACCAGCTCTCGAGCCGGAACGATCTGTGAGGGTCTCTGGGCCCGAAATCATCCGAACATGTCCAGTTCGAAAAAAATGGCGATGCCGGGATCTCAGGGTCGTGCTTGCGCGCTCTTGGCTGCGCGTGGCCGCGCCGAGGTGAAAGCCCGCGCGGTTAGCGCGCCCCGCGGCGTTTCGTCCAAGCCGAAGGGCCCGCTGTGGGCCATGGGAGAGCCGAGCAGTGCTACGCTGGAGTCGGCACGCTGGAGCATCGCCACGGTCTGGCCTGGGTGTTATGCGTTGCCAGAAGTGCCCCTAGGATTGCCAGGGAGGGCTCCACGGTCTCCCCAGACCCCCTCGAGTCATGAAAGAACCTAACAGAGGGTGCTTCGCTGTTTTCGGCCTCTCGGGGCCCTCACTGGGCCTCGGAACTGTCAACAAAAAATATCCCAGTGCGACCCTACCTAGGAGTTGGAGCCCCTAGGAAAGCAGCATTAGTAGTAACAGTAAAGCCAAGCTAAAGCTAAGCTAAAGCTAAGCTAAAGCTAAGCTAGAGCTACGCTACAGCTAAGCTAAAGCTAAGCTAAAGCTAAGCTAAGCTAAATATAAGCTAAATCTAAGCTAAAGCTAAGCTAAAGCTAAGCTAAAGCTAAGCTAAGTCTAAGGTAAAGCTAAGCTAAAGCTAAGCTAAAGCTAAGCTAAAGCTAAGCTAAAGGTAAACTAAAGTTAAGCTAAAACTAAGCTAAAGCTAAGCTAAAGCTAAGCTAAATCTAAGCTAAATCTAAACTAAAGCTAAGCTTAGCTTAGCTAAGCTGGGTGAACCCAGGGGGCGCAACTGGGGGAACCGCGGGGCGGGGACTGGGGGAACCGCCCGGGGCGAGTTCCACTGCCCGGCCCCTTTAAGAAAGAGAGTAAGAAACCTCTAGGCAGAGCCTGGGTAGGGAATTAGCTTGGCGAAGGACCCAACCATATTCATTCATGAATGCCGCAGTTGTAGGTATCGTCTTCGTTGGAGCCCCCTTGTAGGGCCACGAAACGCTGTACTAGGTGGGGGACACGCGTGCGGACTGCGCCACTGGAGCCACCGGTGGAGCTCCGTATGGGGCCACGAAGCGCTGTACTGAGTGTGGCGGACGCATGCAGGCTGCGCCACTGGGACCTTCGGTGGAGCTCCCTATGGGGCCACGAAGCGTTGCAGCCGGTGGGGTGGGAAAGCATGCGGGTTGCACAATTGAGACCTTCGGTGGATCTTCCTATGGGGCCGCGAGACGTTGTACTGGGGTGGGGAGACGCATGCGGGCTTCGTCACTAGGGCCTTCGGTGGATCTCCCTATGGGGCCACGAAGCGCTCGCTGTACTGGGTGTGGCGGACGCATGCGGGCACCCCAGCTGGGGCCTTCGGTGGAGCTCCCTATGGGGCCACGAAACGCTGTAATGGGTGTGGCGGACGCATGCGGGCACCCACACTGGGGCCTTCGGTGGAGCTCCCTATGGGGCCACGAAACGCTGTACTGGGTGTGGCGGACGCATGCGGGCACCCCCACTGGGGCTTTCGGTGGAGCTCCCTATGGGGCCACGAAACAATGTACTGCGTGTGGCGGACGCATGCGGGCACCCCCACTGGGGCCTTCGGTGGATCTCCCTATGGGGCCACGAAACACTGTACTGCGTGTGGCGGACGCATGCGGGCACCCTCACTGGGGCCTTTGGTGGATCTCCCTTTGGGGCCACGAAGCGCTGTACTGGGTGTGGCGGACGCATGCGGGCACCCCCACTGGGGCCGTCGGTGGAGCTAGCTCCCTATGGGGCCACGGAGCGCTGTACTGGGTGTGGCGGACGCATGCGGGCACCCCTACTGGGGCCTTCGGTGAATCTTCCTATGGGGCCGCGAGACGTTGTACTGGGGTGGGGAACCGCGTGCGGGCACCCCCACTGGGGCCTTTGTTGGAGCTCCCTGTGGGGCCACGAAGCGCTGTACTGAGTTTGGCGGACGCATGCGGGCCCCCCCCCTGGGGCCTTCGGTGGAGCTCCCTATGGGGCCACGAAGCGTGTGAGGGGTGTGCTGAAAAGGGTGATGCTGATGATGATGATGATGCTGCTGATGATGATGATGGTGATGCTGATGATACTGATGTTGATGCTGATGCTGATGCTGATGCTGCTGATGATGGTGATGCTGATGATGCTTATGATGATGCTGATGCTGATGATGCTGATGATGGGGATGAGGATGAGGATTGTGATGATGATGATGATGATGATGATGATGATGATGATGATGATGCTAGTGGTCATGATGGTGGCGATGATGAGAATGACGATGCTTCTAATGGTGATGATGCTGATGATGGTGACGGTGATGCTGCTAATGATGATGATATTAATAATGATGCAGATGATGGTGATGATGATGCTGACGATGGTGATGATGTTGATGATGGTCATGATGTTGTTGATGATGCTGGTGCTGGTGCTGCTGCTGCTGATGATGATGATGATGATGATGCTGATGCTGCTGCTGCTGCTGCTGATGATGATGATGATGATGATGATGATGATGATGATGATGATGAGATGGGGGAGGAGGGAGGGGGCAGCGGGAGGAGGAGGAGCAGGAGTGAACGCGGGGACCTTCTCCTCAAAACGATGACCCAACACAACAGGATGGTTGGACACGATTCGATTAGAAAAGTCGGTCCCGGGGAATGGGTCGAGACCTCTGGGGGTCGACGTTCAAGCAAATTATCTTGGCGAGGGACCCAACCATATGCAGTTGTGAATGTCTTCTTCGGTGGGGCTCCCTATGGGGCCACGAAGCGGGTGGCTGGGTGGGGGGTACGCATGCGGGCGATAGCACTGGGGCCGTCGGTGGAGCTCTGCATGGGGCCACGAAGAGCTGTACTGGGTGGGGGGGACGCATGCGGCCATCCCCACTGGGGCCTTCGGTGGAGCTCCCTATGGGGCCACGGAGCGCTGTACTGGGTGGGGGGGACTCCTGCGGGCGGTAGCTCTGGGACCTTCAGTGGAGCCCCCGATGAGGGAAACGAAACCTGATAAACAATACAGTTTTCGAATACCACCCTTGCTTGGGCGGGGCTTCCCTGGAGGAGTGTGAGGGGCACGAAACCTGATACATACGATTGTGTTCGAATGCCCTCCTCGCTTGGGCGGGGCCTCCCTGGAGGAGTGGGAGGGGCACGAAACTTGATAAACAGCATGGTTTCCGAATACCCTCCTCGCTCAGGCGGTGCCTCGTTGGAGGAGTCGGAGGGCAACGAAACGTGATACATAACATTGTTTTCGAAAACCCTCCTCGCTCAGGCGGGGCCTCCCTGGAGAGGTGGGAGGGACACGAATTCGGATAAAACAACACGGTTTTCGAGTACCCTTCTCGTTCGCGCTCAGGCGGTGCCTCCCTGGAGGAGTGGGAGGGGCACGAAACCTGATACATAAAATTGTTTTCGAATACCCTCCTCGCTCTGGCGGGGCCCCCCTGGAGGAGTGGGAGGGGCACAGAACCTCTCAGGCGGGGCCTCCCTGGAGGAGTGGGAGGGGCACGAAACTCGATACATACGATTGTTTTCGAATGCCCTCCTCGCTCTGGCGGGGCCTTCCTGGAGGGGTTGGAGGGGCACGAAACCTTGTAAATAGTATGGTATCCCGATGCTGTCCTCGCTCTGGCGTGGCCTCCCTAGAGTGGTAGGTATGGTATGGTAGCTTTGGTATGGTATGGTAGGTATGGTATGGTTTGGTAGGTATAGTGTGATAGGTATGGTATAGTGTGGCATGATATGGTAAGTATGGTATGGTATGGTATGGTATGGTATGGTATGGTATGGTCGGTTTGGTATGGTAGGCATGTTAGGTATGGTAGGGCACTGTAGGTATCGTATGGTAGCTGTGGTATGGTATGGTATGGTATGGTATGGTATGGTATGGTATTGGTATGGCATGTATTGGTATGGTATAGTAGCGAGGCGGGAGAAGGAGAAGGAGAAGGAGAGGGCGTTCTAGGAAAACAAGAACCCCGCTCAGGATGTGGGGCACCATGACGTCGGGGATGGGTCCGTAGCACCCAGGATGGCCCGGAGAGGGTGGGGTCTCCAGGATGGCCCGAAGAGGGCAGGGTCTCCAGGATGGCCCGAAGAGGCTTGGGCATACCCTGTCCAGGGGTACCTGTAGCAACCCCAGAGGGTGTCCGTTACTTCCTTGCGGTCGGTCATTTGCCCCAGCGGCCAGGGCTTCGCATAAGCACCTTGGTGCGAGAGGTGGCTGGAGTGTGTGTGTGTGTGTGGCTTTCCCCTGCTGCAGCGCTGGCATCTCTCCACGCATCGTGCCACTCAGGCAGGAGTTTCGCTTGCGCGGCTGGTTTCTTCCTCCCCGCCAACCATGCCCGGTTGGCTATGTCCCCCATCGCGGCGGTTCGCTTTGTCCTCGCGTGGGACGTCCCACGCCGGGCAGCGCTCTCCCTCCTCGCCATCCATGCCCCGATGGCTGTGTGCTTGGGCTGCTATGGCTGGCAGCGCGGCGATCCAACGCGATGCCGCTTGGGGTGCCAGTTCCGCGTGCCCGCTCCGCCGCTTGGACTTGCTCCGCCCCGTCGCCGCGCGCGAGGCCGCTACCGCCCAAAGTGTGTGGGTGTGTGGGCGTTGGCAGCGGTGCTTCAGCGCGTTGGACTGCGCCCATCGCCGCCATGGAGATATGCATCCAATACGCAAGGAAGCCTTGCTCATGGAGAGGGGTCCTCGTTTCGCTAAATGGCAACGGTGGCCCGTCTTCCTCCTTGAATGGTTGCGCACTTGCCCATCATGTTGTTTCACATCGCACGTGCCTCCTGGAGTGCCTGTGCCACGCGTGTGTCTCAGCGAGCCCGACCGCCCTCAAGGGGCCCGGGCGCGGGTGACCCCCGCATCGCTGCATCCGCATCCGCATCCGCCCGTGGGCACGCTCGATTCCAGCCAGAAGATGTGTGTCTAGTTTTCGCTCGGGGTTGCCATTTTTAAGTGGCAGCTGTGCCAGGAATGGGCGCGCGATAGCCGCAGCTGAGGGCGTGAAGATAAGTTTGCACATGCTTACGCAGCTTGGATTCGTGTTCTCTTCCGAAGGAGTTACGTGAGAAGCAGGCCCGGTTGGAGGCGTTCAGGGAAGCGAAGAAGGAGGACTCCCGCAAGTATGGCCACCTCGTCTTGCATCGAGTGATTGTCGCAGCACTTGAAAGGTGTGCCGCGTTCAACGCATCGCATTGGTACATAATGAAGTCCTCTGCATAAGCCTTACGCATGTTATGCCGTTCTTTGCCCTTCTCACACACTGACCTCAACTATTCCGTGTTGCCCGCAAGTAGTATGTGCATTTATCCACGTAAGCGAGCGATTCAACAATGCAAGGAGTGGTTTCCGAGTACGGCTCGCCACTCTGCAAGCACACCATATGGCACGCGCGCGTGCGCAGACTTTGCACAATTAGGGCAGGTGAGTAAAAAGCGAAGGGGGATGCGATCTGTGGCATCAGTGACAATGACGCCGCTCCGCCAGTCGTTGGTGACGTTTGCAGCCCAGCTGACCGACCGGGATGTAAGGCGGACTCGAGACAGTAAGGATCCAGTGATGGATTCGAAGAAGACGGTCAATGCTGGAATGTAACGCAGCATAAATGCAATCCAGAGGGCGAAGAGGGCGACCGGAGAGACTGAGCATGTGATGTCCACTGTTTCTGCGTGCGTGTGTCCGCCATCGCTTCTATGTGCACATGTCCTTACTCTTTCGGCATGTGATATATTGTTAGTTATACACATATACATATATACATCTATTCCTCTTCCTATGTTTTTATAAGCCTGGGCGGGGGGACCCCCCCCCCAAAACCGGACTCCCGGGATCTGGGGCTTTGGGACCCTCCGGACGGGCCTCGAAGCGGCCCCCCTGGCCTCGCAGGGCGTTTTGCCAAGGGTTCCCAGCATTCCTAGGGCGATCAGGGGGGTCATCGGAGACGTCTCAGAGACCCCCATGACAGCGCAAGAGCGCTCCAAGAGTGACCGACGTGACCTCAAGATGGCCCAAGAGGCCTCCAGGACGGCCCCAAAGAGGCCTCCAAGAGCACTCCCAAGAGGCAAGAATCATTGATTTTCTGGTAGTTTTTGGTGAATTTTGGGGTTATCCTCTTTTCGGCTTCCCGACGCTCCAAGACGGCGGTCTTCTGGGCGTCCGAAGCCACCTGGGAGGCTCCAAAATCACCCCACAATCATCCGAAAGGGCTTCCAGGCAGTCCAAGAGAGCCCCAAAACGGCACAACACGGGTCCAAGATGGCCCTCAGAAAGCCCCATGGCGGCCCAAGATGGCCCCAAGACACTCTCCGAAGCATTCCAAATCGTGACCCCGTTGTTCAGGGAGACCGTGGTTGGAGGCAGGGTGGCCCGAGGAAGTCCCCAGAGGCCCCCAGAATACGCCCAGGAGGCCTCCAGAAGGCCTTAAGAAAGCCTGAGACCATTTTTTTAAGGCCCCCAGAGGCTCTCCCAGGAGGAGCCTCCGCAAATAAACGCTGAGGAGGATAGGGAGAATGCGCAGGGTATGGCGAACATGAAGAAAAAGAAACATGGAGGAAGGATAACGAATATCATTATCATATCGGCGATGCCGGAAAAGGCAACAAGGAATTATCGCTAAATTGTCGGCTTCATCTTCCTGCTATTCCGCCTGCAAACCAAACTTCAAGGATCTAGGTGTATGGCGCGAAGCGCCACTGCAGTCTTATATATATATATATATATATATATATATATATATATGTATGTATATGTGCATATATATATATATATATATATATTCACATAAATGCATACCTGAAAAATGGGGGGCCCGCTTAGCAGCTTTCCTTGTGTAGTCCCGGCTCTTGTGCAGTACCGGCTCTTCCCCCTGGGCGGTTCCCGTTGGGATTTTGCAGGTTCCAAGACAGGCCCAGTGCCTCCTCAGATGGGCCAAGAGGAGCTCTAAGACGATTCCAATGCTCCCCAAGATTTCCGCAGACGCCCCAGATGGGCTCAACTCAATGCGGTCCAAGAACCGCCCACTACGGCACACCAGCACAGGTGTTTGCATTCTTATTGCAAGCTCGCATCTTCGGTACCCGGATCGTCTAAGCCAGTCTCAGAAGCACCCGAGATCGCCCCCATGCGGCTCACAATCGCCCCGAGACGGCCCCAAGAGAGGCCCAACGACGTCTCCAGCGAGTTTCCACAGCCATTTGGGCTCAAGAGACGCGCCAGCCCTTCCACCGAACCCGCGCCGCGGACATGACGGACTCCTTGCTGGCGCCCGCGCTGATTTCCTGCACGCCGCGGCACGCTGCTGCCCCTGCTCCTCCTCCATCGCCCGTGGCAGGGGTCTCCAAGGTCCCCACGCCCCGCCTGGCTCGTGGGGATCCTTTGCCCGTGGCGCCCTGCTCCCACAAGGTCCCGCCGCTGGACTTCGCTGCGGTCGCCGCCTCCAGCCGCCACACACCCACCGACTCCACGAGGGAGGGAACCGACGTGGACCTTCTCTATGAGGAAGCCGAGGCGCTGAGGCTGCAGACTCCGCCGGACACCGAGAGGAACCCAGCGCCCGTTGAGCACCTGTGGCAGGGTTTGCACCCTGCTGGGCGAAGGACCTACAAGGCCCCAATCCTGACGGAATCCATCCTGTTCCACGGCCTGGTCGTGGACCACGCGAGGTCCGCCGCGCGTGGCAGGTCGAAGCGCAGGGCCGCGCGCGACGACAGCTACAGCAAAGACGTGCCCTCCCGGAGCGCTGCGACCCCCGCGACCATGGCATCCGAAGCAGGAGCGGAGGCCCCATAGCGACGTGGGCCGCCGCAGGGGATCTGCGCGCGGAGAGCGCCTGGACGCCCCCCGCGCGGTCGCCAGCAGCCCGGCTAATGCCAGGCAGAAATTTGCCAGGCCTGGCAAATGCCAGGCGGCCTTGGGTTAATACCCGTGCCCAGCCCAGGTTGAGCGTGATGATGTTTTTGAATGCTTGGTGTTGAGCTCGCCTGGCCGTGCCTGACATTTGATGCTGAGCGTGGAGAGTACTAGCAGCCACGGGCTACGCTTCCTCTGCCGTGCCAAGGCGCGCGGCGGGGGTGGGATGAGGAGGGAGGGGGGGGCACTGCAGAACGGGAGGAGGGCGGTGGCGTCGTGAAGGAGGATGTGGAAGGGGGGCGTTAGATGATGATGAGGTGGAGCATTGTCTCGGGGTCCCAGCGTGGCTCTCGGCACGCGAGGCGCATTTAGACGGGCGTTGGCCTGGCATCTGCTACTCTACCGTCGTCTTGACAGCAGCCCGATGGAAAAACAGCACCAACAACACCAACAACAATAAAAACAGCAACATCAACAGCAGCAGCAGCAACAGCAACAACACCAACAATCACAACAACAACAACAACAACAACTGCAACATCAGCAGCAAACACAACAATCATGTTAATCGCTCCGATATGCCCGAGTGACATTCAACACGTATAGTTCGAACTCGTGGTACCCGCCTTATTCGTCTTCAATCGTACCCCTTTGGTGGTATATCTTCCCTACCTGCCACGTGCATTCAGTGCAGCCCCTAGAACAGGGGAAGGGAGGATGCACGGAAGAGAGGGAGGATAATGGAGAATGAGAGAAATTTTCAGGAGGTGGGCTATGAGCAGAACGCACGGGGCATAACCAGACGGGCACATCGGGCGGGTAGTTCCTCACGGGCGGGTCGGGAAGGCGGGCCCAGGCGGCCGGGTCGGGCAGGCGGGTTGTTGAAGCGTGAGTCCTGCATCAATCGCGAGGAGGGCTCGAGCGATTGCGCGATTGCCAAGTACATCGTGAGAAAGGCAACAGCGAGAGCATGAGTCCTGAGTGTTGAGGGCGCGGCGCCTGAACAAATTTCGAGGAAGTCCCACGCGAGAGCACGAGTTTTGGATATATTGTGAGGAAGTCCCGAGCGAGAGCGCGATGTCTGAATACATTATAAGGAAGTGTCAGGTGGAAACCGTTGTTGTTGCAGCCGGGGGGCCAAGAGCACAGTTTGAGCAGGATGAACACAAACAGATGCGAGCCCCGAGGTGGGGCACTTCAAGTGCCGAGTTTACAGGATGCAGTAGGGTAGCGCCACAGTGCTTGTCCACCCCTCCCCGTAGTGGGACAGACCCGCTTGATCCGGTAGTCCGTCCTTCCGCCCGTAGGGGTGATCAACAACTGTCTTTTCCAGATGTGAGAGTTCTTTAACAGTAGCAACAGCACCGACAACAAAACAAACAACGACACCCACAGCAGCACCAACAACAGCACCAATCATTTGAGACTGTTCGCTCTTACCTGCTCGGGCGCCATTCATTGACAACGTATATCCCAAACGCTCGGTACCCGCCCTCTTCGTCTTCGATCGTAACCCCTTTTCGATCTTTTCTTCGCCGCGCGAAGTTGGCGCAGCCCCTAAAACAGGGGAGGGGAGGACGGATGGATGGGGGACGGAGAAGGATGGAGCATTGGATTAGCAGGAGCAGAACGCACGGCAGAACCAGGCGGGCCCATCGGGCGGGGAAGCCCTCACTGGCAGGTCGGGGGGGCGGGCTCAAGCGGCCGTGTCGAGAAGGCGGGGTGCCGATGCGAGAATAGCGCGCGAATCGCGAGGACAGCTCGAGCGATTGCGCGATTCCCAATTGTGAGGAAATATCAGGTGGGAGCCGTTGTGGTTGTGTGGCGGGGCCCAAAAACCCAAGTTGGTGACACCAAACTTCCCCTGACAAGCAAAAAGGGTGCGAGCCGAGGGGGGGCACTTCAGTTGAACAGCGTAATGGTTACCAGAGGGCGGGCCAACATTTTTACAAATGAGAATTCAACAGCAACAGCAACACCAGCAATGGTTGTCCAGAATTCGTTGGTGTGGTTGTTTTTGCCCCGCACGTTCTTGCCAAGGCGCGCATCAGTAAACGCAGCAGCAATGTGTGTAATATTGTTCGGTTGTTATTGGCTCGCGTGTCATTCATCATTTAACCCCAAGCCCTCGATACCCACCCACTTTGTCTTCGATCGTATCTTTCTTTGGGGTGTATGTTCCTTGACTGCCACGTGTAGTTGACGCAGCCCCTAACACAAGGGAAGGGAGTGAGGAGGGACGGTTGACTGGGAGAGGGAATGATGGAGCGCGAAAGAGATTAGCACGATAGGGGTCAGGAGCAGGAAGAGAAGCGACGTAACCAGAAGTGCGCGTCGGGCGGGCGGACCCCGATGGGAGGGTCGGGCGGGCGGCCCCAGACGCTGGGTCGAGGGGGCGTGTCGCTGAAGCGTCAGTCCGTATGAATCGCGGGGGGGTCTCAAGCGATAGCTCGATGAGGTCCCGCGCGAGAGCGCGGTTTTGAATACAATGCGAGGGAATACCCAGGCGGACCCGTTGTTGTTTTACATTGCGAGGAAGTCTCACGCACGAGCGCGATTCCGGCATATATTGTGAGGGCGTCCCCCGCGCGAGCGTGATTTGGGAGTACATTGTGAGGAAGTGTTTGGGGGCAGCCGTTGTTGTTGTTGTTGTTGTTGTTGTAAACCCAGGGTCGGGGGCATAGTTTGGTGACCCTTCATGTTCCCGTTTAAACAAAAGGGTGCGGGCCCCGGGATATTTTTTGACCGAAAAATGTAATGGTTACCGGAGGGGGGATCAAAGGTTTTGATTTTCGAGAAATGAGAATTCAAGGGCACCAAAATCAAAAGCAGCAGCAGCCGCAGCACTCACCACTGCTCCCTGGTAGCCTCCCTCCTCCCCCCCCTTCCCCCCTCCTCCCTCCGACGCTGGGATGGGCTTGTCGCCGTGCGCGAACGGCCCGCACCCCGCCAGAATTCCGCAGCTGGCGGTGGGCCGCAGCTCATAATGCTCACGGTTTGCTGTGCCCCGCGCCGCAGGCATCAGGCACGGCGCAGTGCCGCCGCGATGTTCCCTTTTGGTTCTGAATGAATTCGCATAAACTCGCTCCATTCATTGGCTCAGGGTGAAGGGAGAGTGGGCCAGGACGGGGGGGGGGGGGGAAGTGAGGCAAGCGCTGCAAGAGGGAGGGGGTTGGCGAGAAGTGAGGGGACGGGAGGGTTCCTGGCCAGCTACTTGCCGCACGCGCGCCGACAAGAGGAATGTTATACACATTTCTCGGGGGCGCGCTGATAGATGGAACCAGGGCTGGATCTTGCCGCCCGAAGGTCCCCACGTTTCCCACGCTGTACGCCAGGAGTGGCCACCAAGGTTGATCATGGCATCGGGGGAGTTCTGTTTAGGCAGGGTTGTCTCTTGCCACCCGGGCCGTACATAGGTCTTGGAAGCATTGGATTTTTCAGTCGGCCGAGGGCGTTTTCGCCCAGCCACTGTCCTTGCGGCAGTGTTGCTGCAATGAGCGGAGGGGAAAGGGGAGAAGGTGGTGGAGGATCTGACGAAGAGGTGAACGAGGGAGGAGAAGGATGAGGTGATTGTTTTTGTTGTGCGTCCGCCAGGCAGGACGTGGTGTACTGCGTAGTTGTCAGCCTGCTCCCATTAGCCAGCTCACGGTTTCGAAGTCTAGACGTTGGCTGGCCAGACCGACGGAAACGGTCTTGAAGTTTACAACATTACCAGATGTATCTTGGTTGTCCAGAATTCGTTAGTGCGGTTGTTTTGGCCCCGCACGTTCTTGCCAAGGCGCGCATCAGTAAAACGCAGCAACAATGTGTGTAATATTGTTCGGTTGTTATTGGCTCGCGTGTCATTCATCATTTAACCCCAAGCCCTCGATACCCACCCACTTTGTCTTCGATCGTATCTTTCTTTGGGGTGTATGTTCCTTGACTGCCACGTGTAGTTGACGCAGCCCCTAACACAAGGGAAGGGAGTGAGGAGGGACGGTTGACTGGGAGAGGGAATGATGGAGCGCGAAAGAGATTAGCACGATAGGGGTCAGGAGCAGGAAGAGAAGCGACGTAACCAGAAGTGCGCGTCGGGCGGGCGGACCCCGATGGGAGGGTCGGGCGGGCGGCCCCAGACGCCGGGTCGAGGGGGCGTGTCGCTGAAGCGTCAGTCCGTATGAATCGCGGGGGGGTCTCAAGCGATAGCTCGATGAGGTCCCGCGCGAGAGCGCGGTTTTGAATACAATGCGAGGGAATACCCAGGCGGACCCGTTGTTGTTTTATATTCGGGGCCAACAACATGCAGTTGTGAGTAACGCAGGGCAGGTGTGCCGAAGGAGGGGCGCCCCCTATAGGGCCACGGGAGACATGGGCGGTCGAAATGGGCGTGGTCAGGCACACGAGCCTTGCCATTTGGGTTTTCTGTGGAGCTCCCTGTGGGGCCTCCTGTGGAAATCCTGCAGAATTTGAAAGGCGCGGCAGGGTAGAGCGACATGAGCCGACGACTGCATACGATTTTCTTCGTAGTCGCCTTCTGTGGAGGTCCCATGGGGCTTGAAAAATCGTGGCCGGGGCAAGCGAAATGAGCCCACGACTGCATGCCGACTCTTGCATTTTGGCCTTCTGTAGAGCTCCCTGTGGAGTCTCCTGTGGAACTCCTATAGGGTTTGATAAGCGTGGCAGGGGCGAGCGAAATGAGCCCGCGACTGCATGCGGACTTGTTGATTTCGGCCTTCATGGAGCTCCTGTGGGGTATGAAAAGCGTGGTATGGGCGAGCACTTTAAGGGTAGCTCTTTGGGAGATGTTACAGTATCGGGAGCATAGCTCGCGCGCCGTTGCCTTTGGCCCAAGGCACGCGCGCCCTATTTGCCCGGACACCGCGAGTGTTCGCTATGTGCTGGAAAGATCATTACATCGATCTTATCCTATCTTACTCATCCACCCCTCATACTGTACCTTCACAGCAGAGCGATGGATGCAATTTGCCAGGCTATATGCCATATTTGAGCTACCAGGCTCACTTTCGACTTGGTAGCGGAGCTGGCCGCACTCTCGTGTGGTCAGCTCTTGCTCTTCTTAGCCTCATATTCTTCGGCACGATCTTCGTGACTACCTACCACCCTGCGCCACTACTCCCAGTACGTTTACGAGGATCTATCCAAGAGCAAGAAGCAACACGAGAGGTACGACGTCTAGACGACCAGACTGGTACCATATACGCTTCATCATTGCGTTACCACCAACCGCTCGGCAACGAGCCAA